TTACATTTTAATCATCAGATGTCCCCTATCAACTATTTTTCTCAATAACCTAGACCCTGCTTAGAGTAAAACTGATCAAGACAGAAATTGGGCTGGGTAACAGTGTGAGTTGAATTATATCAATTTTCTGACAGACTTAACATTTTTATGAACACTGTTTAAGAGGTGAATATTTAATATATTTGAACTCTTAAATGAATTCGAATAAAAAAAACTTTTAAATGAATGCTCAAGTAGCGAGTCTATGCGTCTAGTCACCAATAGATAAAGTATGCCATAATGAAATCATTTGTAGGAGGAAAAAAAATCACTCCAAAGATTTCAATTATGATGCCTGTATAAGGGAAACATAAGTATGCAGAATCATGAAAATTTAACTTTCTTCACTAAGAAAATTGGAACTGCATAGTTACAAACACAGGGACCAACCGGTATTGTCTAGCCCACGCACTCGGCTTTAAAGGTATTGAGGAAAATGAAATAATACAGTATACAAAAAATATATAAACATTCGCTCCAGGGAAAGGGGAAAAAATTAATTACTCCAGTTCAATTTTTTCACTTTCTTTAAAGCTTTCCTTTTTCTAAGTCAGTCTAAAACACAAAACATGATTACTGAGGGCAAGTTACAACTGGCAAATTAGCAGGTGTTTTGAGGGAATACATTAAACCTAAAGATATTCACACCAGTTTGGGAAAGTAAATCACAAAAGCTATTTTAATGATTTAATATGATTATTCATTAAAAGCTCACACTGAAGTTCACTGATCTTTACCCAAACATTAGGAGCTATGTTAAACACATTCACCATCTCATTTAGCCCTTAAAACAAACAAACAAACAAATAAAAACACAACTCTACTGAAAGTATATTCTCATTTTCACTGGATAAAGAAAAGGAGGCTTGAGAATTAAGTAACTTGCCGGAGTTCACACAGCTAGCTCTCCAAATAAATGTGGGACCTGAGAGACAGAACTATACCAAAAGATCTTATAGAGTTGCTGACCTGTGCTAGCAGGAGGCAGCAGGTATGTGAAAATCTCAGGTGACCTTGCACAAGAGATAAGCCTAGAGCATTACGGTTTTCCTCAACTAGAAGATAATTTAAATTCAGTTTTGCTCTGCAACTAATCAATGAAAATCCTTTGAAAATCAACAATACAGCGACCTATCTGTCACCTAGAATTTTAAAGTATCTGTAAAGTGACAAGAGAATACTGCAAAGTTTCCAAAAGCTTTGGATTCTCAAATCTTTAAATATTCAGCTGTTCCTGAGATAGAAAGAGATTCCAAAGAAAACAGTGCTACCACTCTTGAAGAGTAGATCTTCAAAATACTAAGTTAAAAGTCTTATAATCTGAAAGTCCTCATTTATAAAATGAGAATAACATACATCTCACAAATGAGTAGCAAAAATTAAATGAGAAAATGGAATATAAAGCAATAACCACAGTGCCTGAGACACAATAAACGGTAGTAAGGATTCTACGAAGGTGATAACCTCTGCCTGGAATGCTCTCCAAACCCTCTGACCACCGACACTCACTGGAGAGCTACAGGATAGTCTTTGCCATACGTAATTCTGATGTAATTACATATCTGTATGGAAAGTTAAACCCTATATCTCACACCATACACAAAAATTAATTTGAAATGGGTGATAATAGACACAAATGGGGAAAGTAAAACAATAAAACTTTACCTAAAAGAAAACAAAGGACACTATTTTAAGACCTTGGGGCAAGCAAGATTTTTCAAGAGGACACAAAAAGCAGTATCCATAAAGAAAAAGTGATGTACTAGAGTACATTTCATTAAATTTAAGAACTTCTGCTCATTTAAAAAAAAATTTTTTTTAAAGCTCATTTATTTATTTTGAGAGAGAGAGTGGGAAAGTGAGTGCACACAAGCAAGGGAGGGAAGGAGGGAGGGAGGGAGGGAGAGACAGAGAGAGAGAGAGAATATCCCAAGCACGGTCCACACTGTCAGCACGAAGCCTGATGTGGGGCTCGCACCCACAAACTGTGAGATCATGACCTGAGTCGAAATCAAGAGTTGGATGCACCCCTCTATTCATTTTTTACAAAGGCATTAGAGTTAAAAGGCCAGCTGTAAGCTAAAAGAAGATATATGCAACATGCATATCCATAAAATTGCTCCATCCAGAACATACAATAAACTATAAATCTATCAGAAAAAACACAAGTAACAAAATACAAAAAGGAAGAACACTCTTGAACAGTGACTACACAAAAAAAGGCATATGAAAATACACTCAACTTATTCAACACAGAGAAATGAAAATTAAAACACAGTAAGATACCACCACACAACCATCAAATTGTTAAAATTAATAAGACACAATAGTTGGTACTAGCAAAACTGTGGAGCAACTGAATTTCACAAACAGTGCTGGCAGAAGCGTACAATGGCACAAGGATTTCAGAAAATCCTTTGGCATTTTTTAATAAAGTAAAACATGATGCCTACATTAAGACTTAAGTCCATTTCTGAGTGTTTACTCAAGAGAAATGAAAACATATGTCCAAAAGAAGACACATACAATAATATTCACAGCAGCTTTATTGTAATAGCTAAAAACTAAAAACAACTCACGTGTCCATCAACAAACTGTGGCATATCCATGTAATGGAAAACCACAAAGCAGTAAAACAGTATAAACTACTATTCCATTCAACAAAGCAAACATACTGAAGACTAAAAGAAACCAGACACATCCAATTCTTTTAAGAAATATGAGGTAGCACCTCAGAAGGGTTAAGAGGGAGTCCTCCGATGTGCCAGAAATGTTCTATACCTTGATCCTGGTAGTTACACGGGTATATGTACATATAAAAATTCATCAAGCTGTATGCTTAAGATGTATGTACTTACTATGTAAGTTATATTTCAATTTTAGACATTTAAATAATTTACACATAATAAAGCCAAGAGCAATAACTAAATCTAATGTTTTCAGGACTATTCCTTCATATCTGGTTTTAATAAAAAAAACAAACAAAAAAAACCCCCTCTCATTATAAGATACAATACAAACTGAAATGTAAGAATATACATGGTAGGTATCTGACCTTTTATGTTACTAAAAAGTCAACTCAGAATTTATAAATCTAAACGTGTCATGCTTCTAATATATCAGAAATCGGGGGGAAAAAAAGGATAGAAAGAAGAAAAATTAATTTCCTTAAGAAGCAAGACATTGGAACACTATGATGTTTTTCACAATAGTTCCAATGTCTATGGGCTTAGGCTTTTGTCTCCCTCATCAAAATATAAATAACCAAAAAGAGAATCACAAAATCAAAATATTACTTCCTGCTTTTATGCTAATATTAATGAATTTTTGTGGCAAATCTCTCATCCACATCCGTAAAAGGCAGAAAGTGAAACTGCCTCTAAAGGCTTTCTCTCAGTTCAAGGTTTCTAGAATTCTGACATTCAACTAATCAATAACTCTGATTAGCAACTTAAATGCCTTCCAAAATAAAAGCCAAATCTTTGGTCTGGCATTCAAAGTTCCATATCAACATTATTCTATATTTACCTTTCCAATATCTTCTCACATTGGCCCTATAGAAGAACCTACGTGTTCTCCTTAACCCTTGTTTTTGTTCGTGTGGTTTCCTCCATATAAAATATTCTTCTCCCAAAGTTCTAGATTAGCCTATTAAAATCTTTGTTATCTATAAATCCATTCACATTTATTGAGGATCTTTTCCACATGAAGTACAAAGTTGGATAATGGTTGAGGACAAAGGAATGAGACACGGTTCCAACTGTAACATGGGAATGTACAGAGCTAACCCTACTATAAATTAGAGTCAACTAATTAGCAGTCAATTCATAGTGTAGTAAAAACAAAACAAAATAAAAATCATGTAAGCATTAGACCCAGCTAAAAATCCTCCCTCCTTCAATTTTCCCTATTTTATTCCCAGATAATTTTCTCTCACTGTTCTGAATCACCATAAGATTGTTTTATAGGAATCACCTATAATATCATCTATAGGTTTATCTCTTTTATTCTCGCAATACAGAAGAAACTTGAGAAAAGACTTTTTTCCGTATTTTAATATCCATTAAATTTTCTTTAAACACTAAATATACAGTGAATACTGATTTCCAAAACTGCTTTTTAAAAGTGAAGAGCTCCCATATTTTATCTAATAATAGGGCCAAAGTGATTACAATAAAAAGTAAGGATTAAAAGAGATTGCACTTCACTAGAAATTTCTGTACAGAATTTCACGGAAGGTTGGCCAAGAATTAGATTTTTTAAGTAACTAAATTTATTTGGTTAACTATCGAACACTTAACACAAAAAACAAAGCTCAATTTACCCTGTGCCTAAACACACTCAATTATCCATGCCCGCCATTCTACTTATGAATAGAAACATCTGTCTTGTCGTTGGTACAGTTGGAAATATGCAATGCTTCTATAATTGTGATGTCATAGAAAGATTAATATCCATGTTTCAGATTTGACCTGCCAACAACTGTTTGTATTTTGTTATATATAGTCATATTCTAGGATCATGTGGCTATTCAATGGCATAACTCAACACGCATAAGCAACATAATCTAGTATGAATTACCTTATTTGAACATTTTTAAACAAGACCATTAAAAATAGCTAGCTGTAAATTTTTCAAGCAAACTAAATACAAATTTAAAATACTTAATTTTAAAAACTTAAAATTGAGAGGACCTGGGTGGCTCAGTCAGTTGAGCGTCCGACTTTGGCTGGGGTCCCGATCTCACAGTTCTTGAGTTCGAGACCCTGCATTGGGTTCACTGCTGTCAGCACAGAGTCAGCTTCAGATCCTGTGTCACCCTCTCTCTCTGCCCCTCCCCTGCTCATGCTCTCTCTCTTTCAAAAATAAATAAAACATGGAAAAAAAATTTTTAACTTAAAATTCATTGTCTTATGTAACTCTGTTTTATCAACTCTGTTTTGAATAAACCCATACTGTACCTGGTTACTACCATGGCCAAAAGGAGTACTAGATAAATTAGTGGTTACACTGTGCAAAATAATTTCACCACTGAGAGATCCAGAAGCAATGTAACAATCATTCCAATTATATGTAACACAAGTTACTTCATCTTTATGATCCTGAAAAAAAGAAAGCAAAGTTAAGTACACTGCCACATAACCGTCACACCTCACATCTTCATGTTCTTGTAAATTTCATTTTTTTTAAATAAAATAGTACGTATTTGTGAATCTAATATTTGCTTTAACATTTTCCTCAAATAACCTAAACAAATTACTCAAATGAGTAGGAAACTATCTGATCAACACCACGTCTTCTCAAGGAACAGAGACTTAGTTTTTATAACTGTAATAATGATCATACACTCCAAAACAAGAGACAAAAGGGAAGGTAATTTTCTAGATAGCATGTCTCCCTTCCACTGACAAGTAACATTTACAGCAAGTTGACTATTGTGGGAGAGTCCCTGGCCTTGAGAGAATCACTGTTCAATCAAGAAGAGGGGACATTTAAATTAACATGAAAATGGCAGAAGGAATGCTAAATGAGTAGTAGGGGCAAAGTGTCCTAGGAAAGAGAAAAAGGCATCACTGGACCTGAGTTGACAGAGGAAGCTTTGTGGAAGACATAAAGCTTGAGGTCAGCCTTAAAGAAAATAATAAACCAAAAGCAGGGAAAGGGGAAAGAAACCAGACATGCAAAACGCAAGACAGCCAAAACAAAAGCCCAAGCCAGAAGGAGCAAGGCATGGTTGACAGACAATAGCAGCTGTTTCCATTTGCTGAATACCTACTAATGCTGGGAACTTTACGGATTATTATTAATCCTTAGAAGAATCCTAGGAGGCAAAGTCACTTTTCTTATTTTATGGATGAGTTACCTACATGAGGTACAGGAAGTTTACGAAATCTGTGCAAGCTCACATTAACTACTAAGTGGCAGGCCCAGGATTCAATTCCAGGTCAAACCCGAAGCCTATTTTTTTCTTGGGATATTAGGCTGTCTCCAAAATCCAAAGGGGAATCCACTTTGAGGAAATAAAAGTGGTTTTAAACAAACTGAGTTCACAAACACTGTATTTTCCAAAGTCAAGTTAGAGATATCTAGTAGGCACAGAGAAAAGTGATAAGAGTTAAGAGTATAGTTTTTAAGAGTTTGCTATTTATATTAATAATATAAACAAAATAACTTTTGTATCTAATAATTAGCTTAATGTAACATCAAGAATAGTAGCTATAATATTCCACTTATAATCCAATTTTTTCAAATGGTCCCTCAAGCATGTCTGGAGATACTTTCACATGTCACTCCTTTCCTAAATCAAAGAAAAAATTGCTATCCCAAGGGGAAAAAAAATGCCTGATGAGAAGAAAATGGAGAGTGGACATTTAATGCATTGTTCCCACTTGGAAAATTAAGAACATGGGGTCCAATACAATTTCTACGACTTTATAGAGAGGCAGGGGTCTTCCTTATTTTAACTGTGGAAAATAAGTTATTCTGTAAGCCTTCAACAAGCACCTACCAAGTGCTAAAAATTGTGTTACCAGGGAGAGCACCACAGAGAAGAGAGCCCAGGCGAAAGATTAGATTTCCCACTATCACAATTAGTCAAATACTTGTTAACTGAATGAATAAAAAAAGAAAAAAAAAAAAATGAAGTGCCCTAAGAGTTGCAAACAATGAGAAGAGCTAAAACTATATGGAGTAATTGGGGAAAGTGAGGAAGGAAAAACAAGTAGAATTTTTCATGCAGTAGGAGTTAGAGGTGTAAGTGATGCTCCTAAAATGAATGAGAATATGTGACAAAAACTGGCCACAGACTTCTAATCTCTTCTCAATTCTGTAAAACATTCTCTGCTCATAGTATGTATACCCCCTCTAAATAGCTTTAATTCAATTATTTCATAATTTAAAAGATTAAACAATGGATAATAATCTGAGTTTGCATCTCATCTTTGTCATACTAGTTGTTTGGCACTGAAGAAGTTCTTTAACTTCTCTCAGCCTGAGCTCCTCCAAAGGTACACAGGAACAGCAAGCACTACCTATCTGCAGAATTCTTGAGACACACAGAATAAACGTTTATTATGCACAGTGGCTGGCATATCAAAGAACTTAATAAAAGTTAACTATTCTCATTTTGGCAACTTTTGAATTTTCCTTAATTCTCTTCAAAGTTTAGCTAATACCTAAAATAAACCTCCACAGGTAATATTTTCAACAGCAATTACAGGATTATATTTTAATTACTCTAAGAGAATCATTTTCTATATACAACTTCCCTAGTAAGAATTAAGTCAGTGACATCTGACATGAACAAATAATAACGACATCCAGCATTTGCTTCAAAATAATCTGAGGTTGAGATTATATAATAATCTGATTAGAGAGAAGATAAGGGAACAGATAAAATAATACTGGCCATGAGTTCATCATCATCAAAGTCTGATAATGAATGTGTGTGCGTGTGCATGTGTGTGTATACACATCAATGTTCAAAACTTTTCATATTAAAAGTTTTTTAAAAACATATAAAAATTAAAAATAACTTTAAAGATGAGTTTCCAAATATTAAAAGTACACAACAGTGAAAAGTAGAATTCCAAAAAAAGCATAACCCAGAAGCTTTCATGTGGTTATTTTTATTCTGTGAAACTGCAAAAAGCTAACCATTTAAAGAAATGTTAATTATCCATAGTAAATTATTTTAGAAAAAATACCATTACCAAGATGAAAATACAAACAAAAATAACACAAACAGCAGCAATCATATACAGTAGAGAACTATGAAGCTGAATCCCAACTCTGATTAGTAGACCGATTACTGCCATCCCAAAACCACTCTCATTTTTTTCAGAGACTTAAAAAAAGATCTCTAATGACAACAACTCATACTTTAGAAAAAATGAAGGAAGTGGTTTACTCAAAAAAGAGTAGACTAAGTGAAAACTAAGGGGAAAGTTTTAAACACCAATAATATGCATTGGTGACATATGGAGATAAAAATAGACCAAAAATTTTTTTCTGACTAATAGCATCTTTATTTTCCCTAACAAATCTCACTTCAATTCTGAAGCATCTTATTTTTATCATCAGAGCTCAAAATTAAAAGTTTGGTAATTACTTTAAACATTGTAAGATGTTCTAAAAAACAAGTTGCTTACCTTAAGAGACCGATGAACTCTTTTTGATTTTAAATCCCAAATATTAACAGTGTTATTTAGGCCTCCACTTACCAAATACATAGATGTGGAATTTAAACTGACACATGTCTGCTTTTGCTATTAAAGAAAAAAGAAAGTTACCTTAATTTAACAGAGCCCAGAGCTGACTTCCAATTCCCAACCAACACTTAGTAAGTACTATGTAAACATTTGTTGAATTAAATGTGATAAACAAGCTAAGACTTCTCCTAAAGATTCAGTTCTCATCATCTTCCACATGCATCCAACAGTTTGTAAGGAATTCAAAAGGACTTCAAGGAAATCAACCAGAGTCATGTTCTCTTCCATAGAACACAGGAAACACAGGAAGCTTAGGGAACATCAGCAGGTCCTGGCTTCCTATCAGGAGTTACTTGCCCTTAATATTTCCCCCCAGTAAAATCTACTCTTGCACTTCCACAGAGTATACTGAGTTAGGATTCACCCACAGCTCATAAAACACTAAACCTAGAAGAAACTTTAAAGAATGTCTAGACCCCTCATTTTACAGATGGGGAATATAAAGAGGTTAAGATACGTGCTCAAAGCCTCACAACAAAGTCTCCCCCTAAGGAGCCCAAGTCTCAAACATCAGGTCATGAGAACCTGACCCTACACTCTTCCTTAGGTCTGTAAAGACACCATCCACTAAGTTTCTCAAGATAAAAGTCCAGAATTAACTTTGACTCCTTTACTCCTTCCCTGTCACCTACAGAAAGTTCTTTAAACTCCAACACTAACATAAACCCCATAGGGCCCCCCTCTTTATCTACCGCAGCCACCAGCACACTAATCCCAACCCCACAGAACAGCAGCAGCCTCTTAACTGGCACCTCACTTCCAACCCTACTCCTCTACCTTCTATGCCCCACAAGTAGGATGACCTTTAAAAACTGCAAATCAGATCACAACGCTCATATTCAAAAATCTTTAATGGCTTCCATTCTGCCCTAAAATAAATTTCAAACGTATTAACCTGGCTTTCAAAGCCCCATTCCTCTGACCCCTTCCTACCTCATCTCACCATTTTCCTAATCACCCACTAATTCTCTAGCCACACTCACCTTCTTCTATTACTTAAACATAACAGCCCTGTTTTGGCTTCAAGGCTTCTACACAACTATTCTTACCTAGAAAGCTAAGTTCCCCCAAACCTTGGCTGAATGACTCCTTCTGGTCAATAGACAGCAACTTTCAATGCCACCTCTACAGGAGACCTCCCTTGACCTCCTAATGTAACCTGCTATCTCAATTTCTTATTTTAGTTCTCTGTGTAACAACTTATCACTATCTGGGTATCATTCTGTAGTCTATTGTCTATCTCCCCCCAGAATGTCAGTTCAGTTTCATTATCACAAAGCCCATTTCCATGCCCAATAAATATTTATGGCATAAGTAGGTAAAAATACAGAAGTTATCAAGTTTCTCACTATGAGTATCTACGAGCATCATCTATCTGGTAGTGCCATCAGTAACTAGGCTACCAATAAAATACAATGTTGCATGTTATTTTTCCTATTTAACCTTCAGATACACGATGCAGTAACATTAATTGCTCTCACCTCTAGTTGTATGCCTTGGGGAAAAAAATAGAGAAATGAATTCCAAGGGGGACATTTTATTACTCAGCTAAAAGTTAAAAGGCAAGCTATGTAGGTTTAGGCAAAGTCATCTCACCTTTCTAAGCCTATGTTTCTTCACCTAAGAAGTGAGAAATGAGGACAAGATCTACCATTCTCACCTTAAGAGTCCATGCATCTGGAAAAACACCCCATGCTGAAAAGAGCATTCCTTTCCTTTTTATTTTAATTCCAGTATAATTAACACAGTGTTATATTAGTTCCAGGTGTACGGTATAGTAATTGAACAGTGCTATCCACTACTTAGTGCTCATCACAATTAAGTGTACTTTTAATCCCCTTCAAGAGCACTGGATTCTTAAAAGGGTACAGATACCCACCTTTCCCCTCCCTCAAGGTTTCTTCCAGTTCTGAAATTTCTGACCGAGAGTCAAAATTACTAACACATATAAAAATATCAGGAGCACATTACATCAGTGTTTCAGTACAGTTGCTATAATTCCCTTATGGACACCGTTCTAGGAACTGACTTTGGTCTAAACAGACTAGTAAGATTTAGAATCTCGTTATCACCACTAATCAGGACAGTCTGCTAAGAGCTTTCCGAATAACTGTTAAAGAAAATAGATAAGAGTGGTGTCCCTCAAAGATCAATATATTACAACTTTAATCATCAAAAACAAGTCAAATTACTAAGGACTCGGAACAAAACCTATGTTTTTAACTGGCTTACCCTGATGATAGAAGATCTTTTTTTATGCTGATATATTATTAATGTAGCTAATGAACTTAAATAATTAATGAACATTGTGTGCTTATCAGGAATCCTGTACCTTAAGACACAAGCAATGGGTGAAGTTTTTAAAATCTAAAATAAGAGCTGTTCAAATGTCTAGGTTATACAGTAGCCTATCGTATTCATTATACTACTATTAATACCAAATTGCCTATTCCGATGAGATAAAATACAAAATCAAAGAAAATAAATATAAACTTAAAGTTCTGCTCTAAAAATTGTGTTAAAGTAAGTAGGACAGAATCTTATTTTCCCAAGTAGTAATGGTCTAATATCTCAAATGGCACGTGAGTAATAGGACTTGGGTCCTACAAAGCAAAGGTTATCAGCACACTAATATGTTACAAGAAATTACTAATAAACGCTAAGGAACCACTGTTTGCAAAATATTCCTATAAGCAAATTAAATTAAAGCAGGTTCAAATTATAAGAAATAACCTCACCTTTCATCCACCTGTATTCTGATGTCATTTCTTAACTGTAGGAAAGAGAACTAACTATAGCAACTGACATGGAATATTCACAAAATCCTTACAACTGTGTTACATTTGTGAATATCATCTGTTATTTTCATACTTTAACAATAACAACAACTACAACAACACAGTTCCCAAACTGTTCTAAGGCATAATGCACAGAAGGAGCACAATATATACTGTGGTGGAAGAGGAATCTGAAATTGTTTTGATGTTGACATTCAATTCAACAAATGCTTGTTGACACCTTTGATAGTATCTAAAGATCCAAATATGACTAAGATGTTCTGCCTGCTCTTGAAGAACACAGTTTCCTTTTATCGACCAGGGACGCTCTCTGCCTCAATTTTACTTAACTGAGTTTGAATAGGCAGTGTGTCTCAAATTTCATGTCTATCCTAGCAGACATTCTCTGCCCAGCCTCCAACATCTGTGGGCTGGAATTGATGCTTGGGTCAATCCCAGAAAAAGAATGGGTAGAAACCTAAAGTCCTTTTTAAATTAGATGAGCTCATATTCCATTGTTCTCCTTTATTTTTTCTAAGTGGACTACCTCACCTATTCCAGTGTATAAAATTATGACAATTCATAATGCTTTGTGGCTTGCTATGAAAATTTTGAAACTTAAATTAAGAACAAGCTACCACCTACTTGCACCTTTTTACTTAAATCTTTTAAAAAAAAAAATAGCTTTCAGGAAGTGTGTGTGACTAACAATGAAGACACCATCATTATCCTGTATCAGAGGGATTAATCTATAAAACAAGAAACAATATGCAATGAGAACTTCACTTAAATGCACTGGGACCAATGCTCAATTTGACAAAGCCATTCTGTTCTAGGAGAGCTTGGGGAGACTCAGGCAGGCCCCTCAGTACCATAGGGACAGAAGCTATAGAAGCTACCTTCACATAGCGGTCATTAGCTGATGGTCCTGAGCTCAACGTCAGTAAAGGACAGGGATACATCATTAGGACTCTTATGACCAAATCCACCTGGTAACCTAGCCAGGGGTGAGGCTTAAAAAAGGCAGCAATACCAAGGAATCTCCCACAGAGAGATGGAGAAAGCAAGTGACTAGTTGAAAAAAATCTAAGTCCTTGATTGCTCCCCTTGGATCCACTATTATTTTACCTAAAGATGTTTCAGTACCTATCTCCTCTTCAAGTGTTATTGTATTATTTTGAGCTTAGGTTAAGCATAGTACTTTTAAACACATTTATATTTAGTTGCAAGCACCATAAGAAGCAGTTACCACCCAAGTAGAATTAAGATTTTTAATAGAAGGTTAAAAAAAACAAAACCAAAAACACTTACCCCTTCACCAAGCTCTAAAAGTGGAACAGGTTTACATTTGCAACTTGAAACAACAATTTTGTCGCCACTGGAAGAGGCTGTCACTAGAAAGTTATCTAAATGAAGAGTTATGGAGCATCAAACAACCCGTGAGCATCTCTATCACTAGACTATTACTGCAAGAATTATTATGATAAAAGCAAGTGCACTAACCTAAGACAAGCAAGTGAATATAGCTTACACACCAGCTTTCAAAAATGGCTCAGGTTACTAATTACTACTACTAATTCTCTTTACTACTACCGCAGGGAAGAGCCATCCTCTCTGGCTTTGCTATTACTTGAAAGCTATTTTACCCAAGTGAAATACTACTCCATTTTCAAAGAATAGGCCAGAAGGTCTAATTTTATCCTTCAAGAATGAGATCATGATAAAAGCAACATCAGCAAATATCAATCAGCCTTTTCATCTATACACACCATTCAAGATAGTTATTTATTATTAACACAGTGCTTGGTACCAATTTAGTCTAGGAAGTAAACATCCACATTAGTCTCCTATTCATCCACTAAAAATATAAAGCCTGATATATTCTTAGAACTGGAATTTTTATGATAGAATGTTTCAATCTTAAATATATTAACAATAAATATAACAGTAAGTACAGAAAATATAAATAAATGTGGTTAAATAGCAACTATTTATGCCATGGAAGAGTTAAATTTTTAAATAACTAAACAATGTAAAATTAAATTTTAAATAAATTTAACTTAATTTAAAATTATATTACCGTATTTTACAGAAATTATAAGCAGATCAGTAAACACAAAACAATGTAAATTAAGTATCTTTAAATTAAAATGATTAAATGCGATACACTCAAGAACAAGAGTCTAATTTTGAGAGTCATAACAAATTAAAATATCAGAAGTTCAAATCTATGCTTTTTAACAAGCAAAGTCTTACCTGCATTATTTTTGGATGGTTTGCATAACATTCATATATTTCATGAATAGACCATGGATTATGATTTTATTATGATACATGATTCAAAAAAAAATATCATTCCGACCTAAATATTACAGCACTGAGAAAAACAAATAATTTCCCTTTCCTTGGCTTCATCCTCTACTTACTGCTACTTTTTCTCCTTAGAATACAGAAAAGGACTGAACAAAGATAATACGAAAAGGTAACATACTTACTCCTTTAATTTCTCTTGTAGCTTTTGAAGTCATGAGAAAGTGAGGGACATTACCTAAGAGGGCCGAAAAACTAATTTCCCTGGCACCTCACCCTTAATCCTGTTCTTGGAATCCATGCTAAGTGGACCCCAAGTAGCTGAGCCTGGGAAGTACCTGTTCTTTAGTCATTAATATCCAGGGACAAGATCAAAGCCTCATTAGAAGTAAGACTATATACAAAAGTTTCCTGTACATATCTACTTGTACAAGAAAACTATATAGAAATAAGACCAGGTTCCAAAAATCATCCCACACTACCTCACGATCACATCAGTTTTGTTGAGAACATTAAGTGGTTTATCAGCAGATGCTAACTAATAAAACTCCTTGGAATAAAAATAAACCCAAAATATTAAAACTTATCAAGAATTGCTACTTTTCTCTTAAACGGTAAATAATAGGGAAATTAAGCTCCACACATAATAAAAACCTAATAATAGAAGCAGCTTCATATATTTGTCACTCTCTTTAAAAACATTCCTTCCTGCCCCCCCCACCAATTACACATCTGGAGAGTCCTTCAAAAATGTACTCCCTTGGCCAGGGAGTTTGATTAATAGAGCACCAAAGTAATTTATGTTCCTACTTTAATACAAAATCAAGGAATGATAAAGAGGTAAATTTAATTTAATAAAAAAAATTCATCATTTTTTGTTACATATTTGCAAGAATAATTCGGTTGGGCATGAAAACTTGTTTTTGTTCATAAATCAGTCATATTTTAAAGTTCTGATATTTTTACTTTTATCAGGAAACAGAATATTAATACTTTGGTATTGATAAGATCAGACACACATTAAAACTTTATTCTTTAAGAAATAGTCTGTATGTAAGAGCTACACAAAAGAATGATAATTTCTAGCATACCAAGTTTACAGAACATGTTCATAGCACTTTGTTTAGAGCAGTGGTTCTACTGAGGGCTACCGGAATCTGGTGGGTAAAGGCCAGGAAGGCTTCTAAACATCCTACAATGCACACAACAGCCCCCCAAACAGAGAATTATCTAACCCCCAATGTCAAAAGTGCAAGGTTGAAATATTCTGATTTCTAAACTTCATTTCCTCATGCATTTTATCCACATTTAGGAGCTTACTAAGACAAGGAGAGAGAAAATCAGAAACATAGAAAAACTGAGGAAAATTCAATCTAGACAATTTCTCTGAGAAATCAGGCTATTTTCAACATAGACAAGAAGAGAAATATAAGAGCATATCAGTAAGATGAGGATGTTGGAGAATTTTAATTTTTATTTTAAATTTAATTTTGCTTCTGTCTTTGAGTTGTCTTTAATTTGCAGACTAGATCCATAAATATCCAAATGTAGATGCAAAAACTCATTCCAAACCTTTCAGAAGTTTTCCCACCATTACCTACCTTAGTCCATCTGGGTTCAATAACAAACTGTTGATAAGAAAACTAATTCTATGGTCTGGATCTAGTAGCATATATATGTATATACATTCATATGATGATATACTGTTAAACTACTATTTCGCTGTATCTATCTAGCTTTCATAGCTATGCAAAATATATTATTGGTCACATGCAAAAGGTTTCACTGATACTGGTTTTTTAGCCTAACAATAAGTGTTCTTTTTTTTAAAGGATACTATTGCTGCTCCAACACACTGAGCTGATTCCATGTGGTGATGTGTGTGGGTTGAATTTGTCCACCAATGTCATAGATGGAGCATCCCATATTTTAACATCATCTCCAGATGAGGCAAATCTGAGGTTTTCCTGCATGACTGCACCTACAAATAGTTTTAAAACACTATACTTAAAAAACAGTTAAGGATAGGTAAAAAAAAAAAAAAGTTAAAATGAAGGATCTACTCTAAACCCAGTGGCTCCACTGTCCACTTTTGTTCCAGAGTGGGTGCTCACCACCAAGTAGCTGGAACGATACTTCTAAAATCATATTCTCTCGGTTGACCCTTCCAATGGTTCTCCACAGCAATTATAATGATATCCAACCTCCTTGACATGCCTTATAGGACCTGGCCCTGGTGTAACACCCCTACCTCTCTTCCCCAGGGCTACCAAACTCCCTGGCCTTCTTTCTTGCCTCAGTCCTTCCATTTGCTGCCCCCTCCGCCTGGAACGCTCTTTCCCCAGATTTCCCAGGGTCATCTCCTTCACCTCACTCCAGTCTCAGCTCAAATGTCTCCTCAGAAAGGCCTTCCTGGCCACCATGGCTGAAGCAGCCCCATACCAGTTGCCCATTATGCAGTTTCATGTTTTTCATGACATTTTCTATTTGCAACTCTTGTTCTCACAATAATGTTGGTGTCTCCTGACTTGAACAAAGATCCTGAAAATGGATTTTGTCTTGTTTACTATCAGTCTTGAAATGTTCCTGGCACACCATGTGTACTCAATAAATAACTGCTGGATAGAACTTCCTAAACTGAGGTGCCTGGGTGGCTCAATCAGTTAAGCACCCTACTCTTGATTTCGGCTCAGGTCATAATCTCATAGTCTTGACACTGGATCCCAAGGCGGGCTCTGTGCTGGGCATGGAACCTGCTTAAGGCTGTCTCACTCCAGGGGCGCCTGGGTGGCTCAGATGGTTAAGCATCAGACTTCGGCTCAAGTCATGATCTCGCAGTTTGTGACTCTGAGTCCCACATCGGGCTCTGTGCTGACAGCTCAGAGCCTGGAGCCTGCTTGGATCCTGTGTCTCCCTCTCTCTGCACCTCCCCCACTCACACTCTGTCTCTCTCAAAAATAAATAAACATTAGAAAACATTTAAGTCTGTTTAAAGACTAAGTTTATCAAAGATTCTCTCGCTCCCTTTCTGCCCCTCCCCCGTGCATACATGTGTACACTTTTTCTGTCTCTCTTTCTCAAAAAAAAAAAAAAAACCCTCCCTAAATCTTTTTAAAATGTGTAATAAAATGTAGCATTCCTGCCATTTCAAAATCCAGAGACTTCAGTTTTTCCAAATAACTCCAGAATTAGCAAATACAGCCAAAAGAGATGCCTGTCACTAAGTCCCTAAACCAATACTTGGTCTACAATGCCCCCACTCATATTATTTATTCACAGTATGTAATTCAAATACATAATTCTGACAAAGTGATCTCACAAACCAAGGCAGTCTAAAAGACAAAAGGCAAGGGAGCTGCTTTAGGCAGATACTTTAAGAGCAAGTAGTAATGCATAATGAGTCAGAAAAAAAATCCTCAAAAATACATGGAAGAACAGGGAAAGGAAGGGGGCCTAGAGATATACCCTCTACACCTTCCTGGTGTGGACGGTATAAGAGTACAGCACTGTATTAGTGATATCACAGGCTCCCAAGTCACCAACAAAGCCTCCCATCTATGTCCAGTATACCCTATTTCAAAGGCTAAGTTAAAGGTATAATAAATTACAGGGCCCTTTGATTCTCAAGAGAAAAAAAAATATGTTTATAAAAAGACTAAAACTTTAGTTAACTAGAAAAGTCACTTATGCGGTTCATTATGCTTCATTCATCGGATAAATACAGCGTTACTAAAATTAAAATCCTTTAGTCATCTGTTGAAACGTAGACATGCAGTGTTTGGATTTGGCACCTTGACATGTGGTAACATGTTGGTTCCCTACTCAAGGTACAATTAAGTGCTGGAAAGGCAATCTCTTAAACCCAGCAAACAACTGGAAAATGCCTTTACTATAAGCTTACACTGTTCCTGTTGAGCAGTGTGATGTAGTGTGGAAAGATCACTCAAGCCAGGGTTCAGAAAAAGTGTGTTCAAAGGATCTGTCCCAAAGCTACGTGACAGTGACTCTGGCAGAGTCACTTAATGTCTGTTTCCTTCTCTTCAAGTGCAGCGGGGAAGGGGACCATCTGCCCACTCACCTCAAGTCTGCTGAGAACTGAGCACTTTTAAGGGAGAGGCATTACATCAGCCTCCCAAAGAGGGTCCCATCAAAGCGAGCTGTCAAGACACAAGGCAGTAATTTAGGGAGAGCGGCTACATGGAAAACAAAAATCCACTACAACAAATAAAAGTTCTTCAACTTTCATTCACCCAAAGTGCATTCTACTTGCAGGAGAACTTGCTCAACTGGGGTTACCTTATAAAATGAATTCGAGTCGTACTGGAGAGGTTTACAAAAGCGGGGAGACGGCCGGTGGAGAAGCGGCAAACTTTTCGGGGGCAACACACCCCTCAGAGACGCCACCAACCTACCCCAGCAGACCGGGTCACCTCTCGGGTCGAGCCGGAGACGGTCGCGGACGGAGGTGCGCGACCCCGGCCCGCGGCTCCCAGGCACTTCCGCGCCAAACCCGCTGCCGCGCCCCTGCCCGACAACTGTCCGAAGCACCGGACCGGCCCGGGCGCGCGCAGCCCGGGGACCTCCGACCCGCCCCCTGGGTGGCAGGAGGGCGGGCGAGGTTCGGGAGGGTGCAGGGACGCGGCGGGAAGACACCCGCTGACCCCGGGCCCTACGGAACCTCACCTCTCAGCCGCGGTACACCGGGGGGCACGGCGCGGCCCGCTCCGGCGCTGGGCTTCCGGCTCCCGCCCGGACTGTTAAACTTCGGCGGCCGGAAGTCCCGCCCTCAAGTGGCGTCATGAGGAGAGGCGCTGCCAGAAGGGGTGGCTAGGGATGGCGGGGCAGGGCCTGGGGCGGTGCTGGGCCGCCTCTCCGGGTAGCTACCCCCAGGGGCAGGGCGGGAGCTGCGGGTGTGGGCGGCTCCCTCCACACCCCAGCAACGATGGCGCTCTGCACCTTTGTGGTTCGTTTGTTCGCTGGCTGCCCGCTGTGTGCCAGGCACTAGGCTAGACTCGGTGCGCGGTGATGAGTTTAGCCTGGAAGTCATGGGTACGGTGAACACTTCTTCCTGGCCGCGTGGAGCTTACAGTTGGCCGTAGGAGGCGGGCCTTAATACATAATTACATACTTAAAAGTGAAACTGTGACAGTGGCTTCAAAAGAAAGCTAGCAGATGAACGAAAGATGTACTAAAGGGAAATGAACATGGATATGGGTTTTGGAAAGGCTTCCTTGAAAGAGGAACCCATGAAGAGCAGATAATACCCCATGCAATTTACAAACCAGAAGGTATGCTCAGAAAAGCTAAGAAATAACCAAAAGTGTAAGTGTCTGAGCTATCAGACTTCAAAACCCATGATCTTTCTTCCTAATCATTGATCTTGCTTCTCTTAATCGTGCTGCAGGGTCATGAAATCAAACACCATCTGGTTGGGAATTCTTTTGAAAGGGATGTTTCTCAGCATGGAAAAAAGAGGGTCTGAACTGAGTTTTCAATACCAAAGCTTTTTTTTTTTTTTTTTTAGCTCTGCTGACAATTTTTCTTAGAATACTTATAATACGTATAGGGCATTTCTTCTGCAAACAGTATTATTATACCCTCATCGCAAGTGTGACATAGAACTAGGAGTGGGTTTCTGAACTAGGTACATAAGCCCCAGTTGTTTGTACCCATGTTGCAAATAACTTGGAAACTCTGAGTGCAATTTTTCGGAGCAGAAATTGAAGTCCTAACCAAGATGTAAAGATTGATGGTGAGCCTCAAACGGAGGAGAAAGATAGCAAGCAGCAGCTGCCTTCACTGTATAGTTTACAGTTCTTGAGTTTATTAAATCCAATTTTGGCATGTATAGTCAAATGCCAAATGCCAAAGTTTTGGCATTTTCCTGCCAAAAAGTTGGAAAAATGAGAAAATAGAGTAATGGACTAGGGACAGGGAGAATTGAGGCAAATGGGAAGGAAAAGACAATTAACACAATCTCTGAAAAGTTGAAGCCAGAAGGAAAATTGAGACTATCTGACACAAAATATAATACATGTCATATAATACAAATGTATAATATAACATACATGACAATAGATATTAATTGAATGCATACTTTACTAAACATGTATACATGTATAGGTATGTGTGTATGTGTACCACATATATAATTTCATCCTTCTAAAAACATATACTATTATACGTATACATATGAAGAAACAGAGGTTAAGTAACTTGCCCAGGGTCACACAGTTAAGAAATTGTATGAACAGGAGTTAAACCCATAACCATAAGTCTATAAAGACTGTGCTATATAGTCAATATGCTGTATAGTCAAGAGCTAAAAGACAGCATGAAGAGCCAAATGTTAACTTCCACTGCCCCTCCTTGCTGGTGCCACAGCCTCATCAAAACATACATGTTCTTGAGACGGTTCTGTCACTCTTGTGTCCTACCCTTGTGTCTACATGCATAGTTACCTCAGATCTGTAAAGTTTAAGCAATAGAAGCCAAATGTTAAAAACCTCCCTAATATATGAATTATATAAACATATGTACCTTTCCAAAAGTAGATATCATGAAATATTTCTAGATATGACAAGGGATATTTCTAGACACAAAGAGCTACGTCATAACAATATTGCAAAAAGAAAGAAAGAAGAAAAGAAAGAAAGGGAAAGAGAAGAAAGAGAAAGGTTCAAAGTCAATAATCTATGCATTCTCTTTAGGAACCTAGAAAAAGAAGAGCAAATTACACAAAGTAAAGATTAGAATGGTAAACAATGAAATTGAAAATGAACAGTAGAAAAATTCAGTGAAATCAGAAATCAGAAGAAAGAGGAAACATAAATTACCAATCTGGGAGTTGAAAGAGAGGCCACCAATACAGAAACAAAAGATGGTTCAAAGGATAGTAAGGGAATAATATGAACAAGTTTATAATAATAAATAAATTTGATAACTTTAAACAAAGTGGACAACTATCTTGGAAGAC